GAGTGTTCGTCTGAAAGGTGGTCCGGGAAAGGATACGTCAAAGTGTCTTACTAGGAAACCTGGGTCTTTTAAGTTTGTGCACTGTGATGGACCAAAGTGTTGCTTATATAATACACCTACGGAGTACCAGTTGATAATCTCCACCCCTGCTTCGCGTCCCCGTCGCGGTTCGACTGGTGGTGCGGACGAAGTAGAGTGCGACCTTTCCGAAGAATTAATTCATTTCAAAAGCGCTGCAGACAATGGACGAACTGTGAAGAGGAATAATCGCCTCCAGTAAGCATCACGCCGATCCATCGGGACGGGTCGGTCAAACTGATAGCTTTAGTGGCAAATGTTCAGTATTCAACTAATGGTCAAGACCATAGTTTGGCCCAACGGTTTGGCCAATGCAGCCCCAACCAGACACAACTAACGCAAGAACCTTATTATTCAAATAAAGGTACGAAGCGAGAAGCTTGTATTTTCGCCCCGAACTATGTGTGTTTTGCACTGACACGTCCGATTCGTAGATATTGCAATCCTCCATTCCGTGGTTTCCTCAGCACAAGATGAGTTCGACAGATCGCCCTTCCCAAAACCCCTACCTGCTGCAGTTCTGTTCAAGGCTTACGACGATGTACTCCCTACTTTTGGAATCGACCCGGACTCCGATCATCACCTGTCCGCCTTGGTGTTTCGTATCGGGGGTGAGCATGGTGGGTCTTTATTGGACAAGTTCGAGGCGATTCTGAAGCGAATGGGGATATTGCTCGAATTTGGCGAGAATACGACTATATCAGAACATCCATCCCATTCGAGGTCCCCCTCCGTAACGCGGGATAAACAAGATACGATCGACCTTACAAACGCGCTTGAATTAGACGCCTCTCCTGGGAAGGACAAGAACCTATCATCTGACCCAGGTCCTCTGAGGCCATCAACGCCGGGTCGTAATCAAGAACAGCCGAAACACGTAGTTGTTGCTCAGGAAGCCCCGGCGCTAGCTCATACAACCTCAATCCATTCACTGCATCGCTTATCAAATTGTGAAAAGCATGGTGGCGATGCGCCTCCAGTAATCACAGCCAAAAAAACGGTGAATTCACCATTCACCAATCCCGATGGACTGAAAGTAGAAAACACATCCAGGGTCGGGTTGACGCCGGTGGCAGATCACTGGCCTACCATTGCATCCATATGGGCAGGGCACGACCGTGCCTCAAATACACCGCTGCCAGCTACTTTTCAAGAGAAACCAAAAGACACTCTCCCATGCAACAATGTACAGTCACCGACATCTGTACTACTGGAAAATGGGAAGCCCCCCGAGACTCATTCGTGTCTTGATACAAATCAACCCAACTCAGACACTCTTGAAAATCAATTTCTTGGAAATAGAGCAGCACGAGCACGCCAAATTTTTCTCGCCAGCAAAGTATTCAACAGGTGGGCTGATGAGACTGCAGTACGACTTGAGCGGGAAGCTATTGCAAGAAGGCACATGGTTCGCTTTCGTTGCTTCAACAGCTGGACACTCGCTCCGGAGTCTAGAGTCCCAATGGTGAGACATCTCAAAGCTGTTAGTGCTGTCCAGAAGCTTCGGCGTGCAGTTAAGTGTCACGAAGAGCAGTTAAACGTGGCTTCATTGTTAATTAATCAAAGCTACATACACAAGAAAGCCGAACGCTATCTGGCGTTTTGGCGTACTTGTGTTTTGGCTAGACAGGCTGGCAAAATGTCGGTCAGGCGCATAAAAAATTGCGTAGTTGAGCGCTGGCTCAGCCGAGCTACTACTGACAACAAGTTTGCCAGCAAAATGGTGGGAAGTTCCAACTACTACAAAGGCAGTCATCTGTGTGCTAAGTGGATGAGACTAGCAAAATCACATGCCGCCCAAATAGTCGCAGCCCGGCAAATTGGCGCTGCTTCAGTTGCCATGGCCTGGCTTCACGAGTGGAGAGATCGAGGTGAGGCGAAATTTCGAGCTCGTGCTTGTCGGAGGCTTCTGGCAACTGAGAATTCACTACGAGTATTCGAAATATGGAATCTTCGAGCTCGAGCACAGGCATTCCGCTGGAAGTGCGAGTACTTCTCTATCCTTGAGGTCATAAACATGTGGTCTAAAGCTGCAAAGCTCGACTCTGTGCAGGGAACCGCGTCAAAGAAGTATTCCATGAAAAGAAAAGCCAGCATGCTTATCAGTCACATGCGTTCTCACAGCGAGGGACAGTGGGAGCTGAGTTGCTTGGGGCGGCGCGCACGATGGTATATTCAGGCTACTCGCCTAGTGCAGGTTTTTGATAGTACTGCCCGGTATCATAAACATCGATCGAGACTGGTGATCAGGCGATATCTCATGATGAGATACACTCAGGTATCGTCCAGGAGGAGACAGCGCAGCTTCTATGCAGCACTGGGTCGCTGGCAGTCACATGCCACCCAAATGTTAGACTTGGTACAAGCAGCACATGACTACCAAATGAAACACGACGCGGACCGCAAGCTCGCCGTGGCTACGTCCTGGGAGCAGCATAGGTTGCAGGCCGAGACATTGCTTTCTCTAGCCATGGATTATCACAAGGAACACATGTTGGACAAATGGAGATATGAGGCATTGGATTATGAACGACGACAAACGGAAGCGTTGGGATTGTGGTCAACAGAGAGGCAACGCCAGTCACTCAAGGACTGGACAATTTCCGCACTTCGGAGGAGCGGGCAGGCGCATTCTGCGATAACGGTCAGACAAAGACACAATCGTGAAAATCGCAATCGAGCTCTTCTAACATGGAGGCGGCTTACGAGCCCAGTGAAGGCAGATTTGCCAGAACCACAATCGCCGGCCTGGAATGGCCCATTGCACAGCTCTCACAGGGTCATGAAGTCGCTTTCGAGGTCGCGTCCTGTTTTTCGCCGATTCGAAGATGGCCAAGACCTTATGAGTCCATTGAAGACCCCTTCTCGTTCAACAGGGCTTTCGCTGACAGCAACCCGCACGCTCCCTCTGCGCCTGATGAATCCTGTGGAAGAAGTGGATGGAGAGTCGGCGAACCAGGGACAAAACAAGATGGCTACCCTCTGGAACCATGGCGACCCGCGCCGTAGTCGTATGGCTGATCCTGGAGCGAAAAGCTCAACAACGCCGCGGGCTCCTGTGCCAAAGGACACGCCCTGGACAATGCGTTATGCCTCGGCTTCTGCAGGGCATCGGGGCCATGGATCATCTATGGGACCAGTCGGGGCGCGTCGAATTCATGAAAATGGTGATCGGTTTGATGAAAGCTCTTTCACAGGCAAGGGGTCAAAAACACTTATTTCAGGACAACACAAGCGGGCAATCGGCGAGAGAGATATCATTGAGGCGAATTCGTCAATTACTCCCTTATCTCGTCCTCATCTTGTCAAATCCAGGCAGTGACTTGATCAACTTCCGCTGCCAACAGGATGTGGGTAGTGCCCTTGGCCGGGTGAGTCTATATAATAGCAGAATAGACATTTTAGTAATAAAGTAGACTGCCCACATCGCATTGCCTCATCAGCGCGGGGTTCTACTGCACGGGCTTTCGCTAATCAACGTATCTTTAGGTCTACCAGTGAACGTGTATTTAACGACTGCTCTTGTGCTGCACTTATCGTGCTAGGCCTGGGTTTCGTGACGGGTCAAGTATATTGTCGCACTGGATAGACAGATATGCCTGATTCTGGCCCAGAATTGGACGATGCTCGTTGTCTGTATCTCCTCAGGGGTGTATTCTGGTAAATGGAGTAGGAGAAAATTCCTGCTCAATTTCCCCGCGAGGCGTAAAATGTGGATCAGCAAACCGCCACATATTATCGGTTGCAATTGTGTAGCTAAATCGACGACCATGATTTATGAGTATAGACGCAAAATATGGATATCATAATCATCCCATTTGATATGCAAGTCCGTAGAGCAATATATGCGGTGCACGCACTGAAGGTTAATCTAAGCAGCATATTGGAACCTTGTGGACGCATTTCTCCAGGGTAGGCAGAAGTTATCGAACGACACGTGCTATTACATAATGAAACTATTGCGTCACTGGCCCAAACTCCACACGTGTAAGGCGGCTCCAGCAATTTACCAAGCTAAAAATCGGAGTGACTGGGAGGTAGCCTGCAAACAAGATTGAGCCAGCCGCCACCTTGATATTTAGACATGAAAAATATCATTCAAATTCGGTAGTATGATTGCCGTCCTTCCCGGCCAACCCCCACCAAGGCTTCAAGGCATAACGACTGGCTTTTGGGATGGGCGTCATCAAAATGTGAGTTGCCCCCACTGACCTAGCTGGAGCCCTGCTCTCATGCCATCTGCTCCAACAGGTCTATATAAGCGGCAGTGCCTTCACAATACTTGATGGGGCGTACCGAATCTTGCAAACGGTGTATGACGACGACAATGAACAACACCTCGACGCGATTGCTATCGACGAATCATCCGGAAAGATTGCAACTTGCACAGCAGAACAGGTCCGCATATATCGGCCACTTGTCTTACAAGATGACCACAGAAAGGTTGTGCAGTTTCCCTAACAGGCTCGTTCGCTCTCAACACACCGTCCGTCGTACTGATATTATCCCAGTGGGCACAGCAGTCGTGTTTTGATATACCAGAAGCTGTTTCAAAAGCTCCTTGCGCTCTGTCCTGGGGCGGCTCCGAAGAGCTCCTAGTAGCCTCAAACTCTCTATACCTCTTCACCACAGCCTCATTCCCCGTGCATATATGGCAAAAGGTCTTACCCAACCCGGCCAAGTCTGCCATCATTTCACACGACTCGGCATACATAGCTTCCATTGGTCAGCACGATTGCCTAACCAAAGTTTGGAGGCGACTGGTCTACGGCGCAGACGAGGTTCGATTCGACGTGACGTACCTTCGTCACCCCGACATCGTTGTTTCTATAAGATGGCGCAGGCCCCATCATCCAGATCAGTCGGCGGACAATGTCCTGTATACAATATGTCTCGACAACTCAATTCGTGTCTGGATCCCAATGGAGGCAACTGAAGGTCGACACTGGCAACTGCTGGGCCGGGTTGATATGAACGAGTCTGCCATAGAGATGCCAGTACGATCATACCCTCCACTCGTATTCATTGTGGATGGATGTGAATTTACTGCTGCCCTGGAGAAAGCTGTCAAGGATCGAAGGGCTGATGATCGAAGTGCGGACGATGCAGCTCTAGATCATCTTGTTGCTGTTGCAAACAAGAACCCTGAAATATGTGTCAGTATCGACAAGCTTGGCAATATGTCTGTATGGGCACTGGACAACGTAGGGAACAACAAGCCTGAACAGTTCAAGGTCTTTAGCGTTGCGCGATTCAAGCTGCCGCATTTTGAAACTATGAACGAATTCTTGAACGGCCAAGAAGGGGGGGGACACACGGAGGCTCAAAGCTACTGTGACAGATCAAATGGAAGGCTTCATATTGTGCTACACTCTTTTGATGGCAAGATCGGAATTTTTGCAGGAAACGTGGCGGACCTGTTGGATCCTACAAAGAATGATCGACGCCTTCACATCCAAACCGTCTGGACTGGACATACTGCACCTGTCAAGAAGATGGTGCGTAATTTCAGTGGTCATGCAGTGGTTTCGCGAACTGCTAGTGGAGAATGTATTCTATGGAATCATTCTGCCCTCGATGGCGAGCGGTCGGACCAAACACTTATCCGTAGGTCTGTCATACCGGAAAATGGCAATATACATCGCATCTGCGTCCTGCGGAAGGGGCGATTTGTCGTCCTTCTATATCACAAAGCTATCGTCGTCTGGGATTGCCGTAATGGATCTGCATCGCGGCTTGCCGAATGTTCCTTTGAGACACAAGAAACACCTCTATGTCTTATAGTGCTTCCTCGACCACGAAATACACAATATATGTTGGCTTACATTGCCACAATAACACCCAGCGGCCACGGAATCGCTTGGGAAATAAAACTTCCCCAATATCTTAGCAATGATACGACAATTGAAAATGTGGCAGGGCTCTCTGAATTTTGCCGGTTCGAGCTTGCCACAGCAGACGAATTGAAGTATGTGCTCCCTGTGGACCCAGCTGGAGCAGCTCCGTCTATGTCTGGTTTTCTTGACATATTCGCTCGTGATGTAGCGATTTCATACACCCGCTCCGGGAGAGTAAACTTCTGGGCGGCACGTGTTAACCTGGAAAGCCGAGCGGTGGACTGGTTGTCAACATCCTGTACGGAAACTGGCCTGCTGGACCCGGCACTTGCAAGCGGTAGCATGCTTAAAAAAGCAGCTTTGGTGAATCTCACAAGGTCGCAACTCACTATTTGGGATATCGGTGGTTCACGTCTTGAATATGATATGGACTATAAGGCACACCATAGTATTCAGGACCTTGATTGGACGTCCACTCCAGATGCGCAAGCCATTCTGGCCGTTGGGTTCCAACATCGTGTCATACTACTGTCTCAAATGAGGTTCGACTACTTGAACAAAGGACCAGCATGGGCACCGATTCACGAGATCGACATTCGCGATCTTACAGCACACCCGATTGGAGATTCCACCTGGCTTGCTGACGGCCACTTGGTAGTTGGTGCCGGAAATCAACTTTTCGTTTATGACCGACGCATAGATACAGGGGATTCTTCTATCACACCCATCAGTCATCTCAACAGAGATGATCGCAGGGACCTGTTTGAAGTCGTGCAGAGATTTAATGGACCCATTGCTGTATTTCATCCTCAATTTCTCAGCCAATGTATTCTGTCTGGCAAAGGTCCTGTCGTCCGTCGCATCTTACTAGCCCTGTACAAGACATTGAGATACTTGATTCCAGGTGATACCATGGACGATTACCTGGGTCTCCCGCTATCAGAATTCTACACTGAAAACGTAAGTAAGAAATTGCAAGAGAGATGCTTTGATTCTAATGCTGTCTTGTAGACGTCTCAAATAAGCTCGTGGGGCAAAGCCAAGGGCCGTTCGTTCTTGGATGATGATGATTGCGGAGAGGACGATATGTTTTCCGCAGAGACGGCAGCGTATATAAACGACAAATTGACGAAGATACGAATCCCCCAGCTTACTGGACACGAACAGATCCAATTGGCAGATATTATTGAATGTGTTGCGGTGGTGGAAAGCCATAGAAGATCGATGGACGAAAATGGAGCTCGGTTCATGCTATTCTTTCGGCAGCATGCACTTCGCAAAGGCCGAAGGAATGACATGCACCTCTCGTGGAGAGAAATAAACTGGGCATTCCACTCTGGTAGCCAGGACATACTGCTGGATTTTGTGTCCCGCCAAAACCACGGGGCCATGTTGTGGGAACAAGCTCGCGAATGCGGAGTTTTCATGTGGCTTTCCGACTTAATCACATTGGTATGCTCATTACTCATTTAAGCCTTTGTGTTACGACTCTCTATGCTAACATTATCCAGCGCGACCACTTTGAAGTACTAGCAAGAAATGAATACACCAAGAGCGAACTCAAAGATCCGGTGAATTGTAGCTTGTTCTACCTGGCCTTGCGTAAGAAGACAGTCCTGCAAGGCCTTTGGCGTATGGCAAGCTGGAATAAAGAACAAGCGGCCACTCAGAAGTTACTAGCAAATAATTTTGATGACCCAAAATGGCGAAGGACAGCATTAAAGAATGCATACGCATTGCTCAGCAAGCGAAGGTTTCGTGAGTTGTTATCAAGCAGACTCAGGGAACAAGGAGCCTATATACTGACCGCTAAACAAGATTATGCCGCGGCATTCTTCCTATTGGCTGACCGTCTCGAGGACGCTGTCGAGGTTTGCCTCCGGCAAATCAAGGACCTGCAACTAGCCATTGCCATCTGTCGTGTGTACGAAGGGGACAGTGGGCCAGTGCTTCGAAAGCTAATCCAAGATGAAGTCCTCCTTTTAGCTGCACAAGAGGGAAACCACTGGCTTGCCTCGTGGGGTTTTTGGATGCTTGGTCGCAAAGACATGGCCGTCAGAGCATTAATTGTAAGTTCTCCTACCGAAGAAGCTGATAAGTAAATGCTAAGTTCGTTATATTAACTGAATTCAACAAGATGCCTGTCTTTGCGCTTCTGGAGACTCCTTGCTCCCCGGACATCAAGTCTCGCTTGTTCTTGACCGATGACCCTGCTCTTGTGGTTCTATACTCCCAGTTGCGTCAAAGAACTTTGCAGACGCTTCGAGGTGCCTCCAAGATAACACCAAAAGTCGAGTGGGAGTTTGTTCTTCACAGTGCTAAGCTTTATGACCGCATGGGATGCGATCTTCTCGGGCTAGATCTTGGTGAGTGCGTGTCCATTCAAAGACGAAGCAGCATTTGACGATTATTGCGTTTCAAGCTTTCTGTCCATCGATGTCTCTTTGCCTGCATTTGAGAATTTTGAAGTATGAAGATGGTCTTGGCTGATATGATGTGTCAGTTCGCAACTGGGAATTCCAGCAACCTATCGCCACTGGATTTGGTGGTGAAATAAACCCCTTGAAACTGTTACGACGGAGAAGTTCACTGGTAGTGGATGATCTCTCAGCAACAAGACGCAGCCTCGGCTTGGACCGGACCCGCGACAATACGAGCCACGGCCCCCCTAAGCCGTCACCGTCAGCATTTGTGGAGCCCGAAGCTTCATCACTACTTGACAGTTTTGGACTTTAGATGTAGATTTTAGGAACCTCGGAATGCGTCGATGCGTCCTGCTAATTGGGATCTGAGCTCTTAACCCACCACGGTGGGTGTACAAATGGCAAACCTACATTGCCGAGTCCTGTGGCAGAATATGCCGTACTGCCACCTCACATGTCTACTTTTTCAGACCCAAATTGTAAAAAATTCCATTTGCACCTTCCTAGTTCCCTAACATCGTTGTTTCTGATCATGTGTAAATTTATTTGTTTCTCCACTTTCCATGTTTTAGCCCTGGGTTGAGCAGGGCGTCATGTATCCTGTGCTTAGTCATGTCTTGGTCTTGCCTTGTGGCAGTCAACATGCAGTTTGTAAGCAGGAGTACCTACTCGTGCCACGCCCCACTATTTTAGGGACCTCGTTTCACTCACCACCTAAAGATAGTGCTTATTACTAACGCGGCCTAATTACTAACGCGGCTTAATTTTTAATTTAATAACTTAATTAACCTCTTCGCTTAAAATATACACCCTTTTTATTATAAATTTTTAGGTATTTTAATATAAAAGTTTAATGCTATTAACGTGCTTTTTTCACGGCTTTAAAAAAACGCTTTTTTAATTAAGTTATA